ACAGCGATTTCTGTGCACTTTTATTCTTAACTACCCGCCTTCCGGGAATCTTGTCGTCCCAAGATATAGGAGACGAATATGTATCACAGGTTGCAGGGTTAACCCCAATTCTTTTTTCTTGCGGCTCCTTCAATGCAAGCCTAACATCAGCTAGATCCTTTTTGAGTGATTCCAGAGAGTCTACTATCGAAAGTAACTGGTGGTAACTTGTTTAAATCCTTTGCCACAAAAACGGGCAGGCAGTCCGGCTCAAATTCTTTTATTAGCTTTATTATTTCCTGCAGACTATTCTTCTCACTCCCTTCCTTACGCCTAGTAATCCTTTTTTGTGGCGCAAGTAATTTATATACAGTTTCTTGCGAACTCGATATCGTCATAGGAGTAGGCACTCAAACATATTTGTATATTTCCAAGCTCGGCTAATGTGTCAACCTTGTTCGCAACAAAAGCTAGTAATTCATTGATCACCACTTCACAGTCTTTGCACTTGGCTACACTGTTGTCGCTTATTACTTTGTCGCGGTCGCGAGAAGCGGGAGGAGAGCGTAACATCGTGTAACACGCGCGGTTTCCGCGACCTTACTGTTACTGTCTGCATTGCAAAGTCCCATATCATTATATGGGACTTTGCCGCCTTTGTTATTAGACCCCTAATATTGTTGTAATTGTTTGGTCGGTCGACGAACCATTGGATGTCGCGCTCACGTTATGACGTTAGTGTGGTACCTTGGATGGGCTAGGTATCAAGAAAATATCTTTGCTCCAGCAGAATTTCTGGATGACGTCGTTGTAAGAAATTTAGATGAAAATGATGATAATTTATGTAACGAGTTTGGGGTTTGTGACAATAAAAACTGCCGATTAAATTACCAATATGGACACTTTAAATACCGAAAACCAATCACAACTTTAAACACAGTAATAATTGATCTCAATGAAAGCTTTAGTTCGTAGTTATATCGCTTCGAAGTATTCGCTTGCATTGCCAATTCAATACTGACTTGGTCGCGGTCCTTACTGGCCTTATATAAGGCCTCTTTCACTGAAACATCTAGAATGTTTGAGCACATATCGGTCTCGACCGAATAAGTGTAGAAAATTCTAGTATGGAATAGTCTAGAAAGCTCTCTTAGTTCTGCTACTCGATACTAAATTGCGCTAGTGGCATTAATTATGGCACGCAACATTAATAAACCATTCCACTTTAACATAGTGTTTTATTTGTTTTTCCCATTTCGTTTATCAGGTATGTATGTAAGTATGCACCATAGGCCAATGAAATGTGTTTGGTTGATAAGTGATCGTTTTGACAATACAAGAACTATATAGAAACTATCTATCGTTTTCATGCATTGGAAGACATTTTCAAGCTACTAGACTGGAAAGGATAAGGTATTAACATCAATGGCGAGTATATCACTTATCTTCGATTTGCTGACGATATAGTTCTTATGGTAGAATCGCTGGAGGACCTAAGCACTATCCTTAATGACTTCAGTAGTATCTCCCAACGGATAATTCAATACCTTAAAATGAACATGAACAAAAAAGATCACGTGTCACACAACGTCCATGTCATCCCATGCCGGTATTTGTTGGGAGCACTATGCTATAAGTTGTTGACGAGTATATTAACTTGGGACAAATGGTATGGCTTGGTAAGTCCCATTTTGACCGAGAGGTCAATCGATGAATTCAACTCGGCTAGGCAGCGTTTGGAAGATTAATCAAGTATAATACCTCAAAACCTGAAAACAAGATTTAAAAGTGTTGCCAGTGGTAACATGGATCTGAGACATGGTTCTGTGGCAGCACTATCATCGTGCCACAAGCGAAACGCACCGAAGCCTAAATTGCGCTATCAAAGTTCAAAAGTTCTACTGTATATATAACTAACTAACCTAAACTATGATACGGAGCGTTGGCCGCTAATCAGGCTTATCACCTTGCCTAATGAGATATTGCCTTTTTCCTTCTACGGCCAAAGTTAATGCACGTTTGTGCTTCACTGCACACTTGTTAATTATTTGCCTTTTTCTATACTCACCGCAGACTACAAGGTAAGTCATGGCACTTGCACATTTGTCGACAAATAGAATATAAATTCTATTGTTCTGCACTGCTAGCTTATGAGGAAGCTCAAGGTTTCTTTTCGTGGTAGACTTTAAAATGAGGATACCCGCGATAGAACCAGAGTAACCGACATACCACAACAGATTAATAAGCTGAAGTGGCAATGGGCCAGCCATATAGCTCGAAGAACCGACAACCGATGGGAAGAAAGGTTCTCAAGTAACAGCCTCGTACCGGTAGGCGAAGTGTAGGGCGGTCCCCCACTATAAGGAGCGACGGCCTGGTAAGACATGCAGGAAGCCTATGGATACTTGAGGCTCAGGACCGTGCCTTGTGGCATGTTTGGGGGAGCCTATGTTCAGCAGTGAACTTATGAAGGTCCGTAATGGTGATGATGTAGAATTGCGTTATACATTAGTAGAATTTGTCTTTTGAGAGTGAATTATATATCTACGTCTAACAATACCTTTTACTATATCATTTTTTGTTTCGGGCAAGTATACCGATACTTTCTTATATATTGTAAGTTGTCTTAAAATCAGAATTGCGTTATTTACTTTTTACATTTATTAAATGTAAAATTAATTTAGTTTTGACAAAATAAAGTTGAATTGCATAGTATAATTTATGGTATAATGTTTATTTGCCATTTAATGTTCATGTCATTAGCCCCATAAAATAATTATTATTACACTAAAATAAGTTTGATAGACCTCAAGATTTTATAATCAGATAAAAGGTAGCCTCTTGGTTGCCCCAAGTCTAACTACTTAGGTACAACATTCCATGAAGTTCCGTCCTGTAGTGCTTGCGTGAACAACGGTACACAGACAGGCAGATATCGACAAAATTCTACAAAACACTTTGGCTTCGGTATTCTTTATTAAGTACTCTGGGGTTATTTCTTCCAATAAGTACGAGTATAAACATAATATTTTTCTAAATATTTTTATTCAATGATGGCCGTTTTATTTTTTACATAATAAGAACCTAGTCAAATTATCTCGTAGTACTGCTAATCATGGTACAGATAGATTCTAAACTAATTGTAGAATGGTGCATAATATTAAATTTTATTCTGCAATTTAATTCATTCTTGTGAGTTTGAATACCCTCTCACAGAGAATCATAAGCACTAGCTCAAAATGAGGCATTTAACAAAGTTTTTATCCCTCGTAACTTCAGATTTATTTATTTTACTAATATTTAGTTTTATACTGATTGTCTACAATGATATTTATAATTTTGGAGTATTGATCTGTTAAATCTTTATTCATACTACGGTTATTAAATTTCCTTTCTAGTTTATTTTCATCTTCGCGGAGAGATTATTTGGCGTGATTGAAATGACCCAATTTCAATATAAAAAGAATACATTTTTTAATGAAACCGAAACCGTCTACGAGTGCCCTATATTTACAGTTCGTCTTAAAGTTTTGTTGATATTATTGTGACACTTTCAAGTTTATTTTTAGGATAAGGGGCTGTAATGAGTACCACGTTATATTGTTGAAATTAAGGCTAGTATAATTTCATTGATTTTAACAGATTTTATTTTATCTTCTAAATCTTGAAGATTAATTGCAGAAATAAATGGTAGTGGAATAGTACTCTAGAGGGGTCAAATTTTAAAGGTAAGTAATACTGTCATTGAGACTTTCCAGTTTTATCTTCTGCATTAGAGCTTATTCCAGGAGGGGATGAAGTACCAGGAAAGACCTTTAACAATTGGTTCAATTTAGTTCAATTTCTCATTTGGGTCTTTGCTTAAATGTGTTAATGTTTTTTCTTTGAATAAATGTAAATTGCAAGCCAATATGACCATACATGCCAAATCAAGTATAATGTCATACTGGCATTCGCTTTATTCAAGTTAATCTAGCACATAGGATATGTTAGAGAAGGAGTATTTGTCATCAACCGCTTTGTCTATTTTTTTAAGTCCACAACAATACTTCATTTGACTTCACAGCAATTATTGACCTTTTTTGGTACAGTCAAAATAGAAAACTTAAAGGCAGAACCAAAATCAGAACCATGTGTAGGATCAATGTGCGGTCTGAAAATAACAGACAGCTGTTTTCCTTATTTTAAATCTTTAAAAATCCTAGCACTGCCATCATTGTATACTCTGGAATCAGCAATTTTTGTAAAAAGTATGCATTTCTTTTTCAAAAATTGTCTACCATTAGAAAGAATCCAATACGTTATATTATTATAAGTTATGTTACATAAAATGTGAAACATCACTCATGAAAAAAAAGCCTTTTTGGTATTGCCCCACGACTTTATAATTAACTACCTAATACAATAAAAAATATGAACTTATTTAAATTTTAAAAAAGTGCTTAGTGAATAATTAATACACAAATGTTATTATAAAATTGACGACTTCTTGAATGATAATTTTGACCAGTTATATTAACTTTAAATTATATTGACTAATTATATTATTTTTTATTGTCATCTATTTCATTTTATCAATATACAATCTTAATCAGTATTACAATTAAGTTAATTATTTTATTTTTATGGCATGATTCTCATGAACACACAATTATATTTGTATGTCTTTAAGACAAAACAGAGCGTAGTAATAATTGTAACCCTCGCAAGACCTTAAATGTTTAAACCTACCTATGTTTGACAAATAAACTATTCTTATTCTGATTCTGCACTTTAAAGGTGCATTACTAAAACAAAACACGTCACATTGATACTTTTTTATTGATACTTATTAAATTTTATAAATCATTCTCTCTCTCTCTCTCTCTCCCTTCACATAATATGTAACGTGCAAACAAATTCATATTTTATTACATTCTTATCAGCGATATGAAAATAACTTTCGTTACATTAGTTTCACAAACTTGTCTGAGTAGTTTTTTTTTCTATATGTTATTTTGACGTATTTTGAATTCGTAAAAATGAAAGATAACGTAAGTAAAACTATCAGAAAAATCAACGTAAACACTGTGAAAAGTTTAATAACAGTCATATTTTAATATTAAACTACATAATATAATTGATCCCCGCAATCTATCTAATAGAAAAAAAAATTACAGCCTATTTACGAGTCCCACTGTTGGGCACATACCTCTTTCAGCAATTAGTCCTCCATAAACCATTTAAGATATAATAAGTATTATTTGTTTAGTTGTTCGTCTTGCGTGTGGTTCAACACTATTCATCCGATAAGGTTTAAACATTGATGAGCGACACTTAAATTCCAAATGTTGGAGCAAATTTTACCTTTAAGATAATTAAAAAATAAATAACACACATCATTACCCGAGCAATTTAATTGAGTATTTTATTTCGTCTCCCAGCACCACTAAAACTGTTCACAAACATTAACCACAAGCCGTTAAAAATAAACATGTTTTGAAGACATTGCAACACGAACCTGCAATAGCGCAGAGACTTCCCTGCTACGTGCACTCAAGAAATAGGAGCAGTTCGAACCTAGCTGTCGGACCTAAGACTACCTGCTACTTATCCGTATTAGTATTTATTTCGCTGTGCAGTCATAGTAACTTTTCTTTGCAGAAAATTTTCAAGCTCCTGGCAGCGCTTCTCACATCAGCCGCCGCGCCTGATCATTCATTAACGAGTGGTGAGTCTTGTTACTTATGTGGGATATATATATATATATATATATATATATATATATATATATATATATATATATAATTTTCTCATCTGGTTGAGCTGCATAATACAAAATATATAAAAGAGTATCATAAATATACTTATACATAATGATAATGTATTTGATAATGATAATGTAACGACACCCCCCCCCTCTATAGAACTGACCGTATATAAAATACAAAATTAACGTGAACATAAAAAAAGATTGATTTTTTCCCCAAGGTTCTTTCTTCAAGGTTTGGTCATAGACCGTTTGTAATATTTATGGCGTGAGCATCTTAGTTTCGACTCTGTCAGCTTAAGAAAACAGCAATGGAAAGCCGTTGATAGTGCCTCATGTTATTTTAATCTAAGGAACCCCGTTCACAAGGAAAGGGGTCAAAAAGGTTAAGAACATTATCGTCCTATCGTCCATCGTCCCTATTCCACTTGTAAACGAGCACAAAAGTGTTGCTTTATTTCATAGACCTTACTGTTATATGTCTTTAATATATGGGACATCAATTCACAACTCTGTTATTATGCATCATAGAAAGCTTTTACAATAGCACTTTTGTATCATAGACCTTACTGTAATAAGCGCCTAATATATGACTATACATTGTACTATAATACTACTACTACAGTATTCAGCCACCTGTTCACCCCATATATATGTACACCCATAGGTATGCGTCTCCGGCAAATCCCTATATGAAAACGCTCCAAAACTTTAAAAGAATTTACCAATTTTTCAATTATAATGTAAATGTTTTATTTCTATTATTTGACACAATTTATAAAACGATATTTAACCTTTACTTTTAATATATGTTTTTTAACTTTATACTAATTAATGCATTTTTCTTTTCTTTTTAATATTACTTTTAAGATATTTTAGACGGCTTTATATAGAAATTAATTATTAATAATAATAATACGCCGTCACTATAACAAATTATTTTCAGAACTTAGTGAAAAAGAAAACAAAACCAACCCTCTAGTTGAAAATATCAGACGACAGCTCATGAAAGATAACTACGACTATGGCACCGAAGAGACGACTATTGTAATTAAATCGGAAATAGAAGAGTATCAAAATAAAGAATATAATGACAATCAAATATCAGCGATACCACTTAAAGAAAATATTAGCTCTACGTTGGATATTCCTAAAAAATTTGAAAGTACTGCTGACACTGATTATTCTTTTGTAAATATTACGACTTCTCAAGCAGTTCACGCTCGACGTAAACCTGAAATGTATGACAACCAATCCAAGTACATAACTGCAAGTGAAAAAAGTAATACTGAATCACAAATGTATAAAAACAATGAAAATATGAATACACAAATAAATCGACGCGAAGGCGCTAACAATATTCAGTATGAAAATGACGATACAGATACTACAACATCAAACGCAAGAGTAAGGTATAATATTTTAAAGGTAAGCTAAAATATTTTAAAAATGTGAAACAATTTCTCGTATCGTAAATTATTCTAAATCTTAATCTTAAAATTTAATACACGCGAGAAAAAGCTATTTGATAGTCATAACAGCCCATAACAAGTCCTCTGACGAAAATTAGCCTCCCCTAAGAAACACCGCAAAGCGCGGTCCCAAGCCACCTACATCCACCGACTTCCTGTATCTCTTAACTGAGCAACCTCCCACTTAATAGAGTGAAGACCTACAGCTCGTGTGCCTATACTTCGCTACCAACATAAAGCTGCCAATCAAAAACCTTGTTTCCATCGATTTTCGGTTCTTCGTGCCATATGGCTGGCATATTGCCACTTAAGCTTTTTGCTCCCTTGGACTAGGTCGATTACTCTGGTTCCTCTGCCAAATCCTTGTTACGAAGTATGTCTTCATAAATCGCTAAGCTAGAGCTCTCTCATATGACTAGCAGTCTCTTTATATTTATTTATTTTTTATATAAACGTTACCATCGCACTAGAATTTTCTCCTGTACTTGGCGGCAGATTATATACATAAATTGTACAAGGACAAATATCCAGACCCGAAACAATCATACAAATATTTATTCCGAGCGGGATCGAACACCGATGCAGACGTGGCTTGGCAGAAGAGACTTGGCTTAGTGAAAACATAGGGCTCTTAGAATTTCTAAACAGATAAAGCTGTTGTGCACCGAGCTCTGTCAGACCTCCGGAATGCAATAACAATAAATAATAAATAAGGCTTAACTATATTTATCCAATGTTAAGGCTATTTCAACATTACAATTCCCGTCTTGTTACTGCGAGCTTAGTCCTATAGAATTAATGTAGGTTTATTAAATAAAGGGGTATGTGCCGCAACATTATAATAAATACAAAATTAAAACTATTGAAAATATTATCTATTTATATATAATATATATAAATAGATTATATTTTCAATAGTTTGAAGGAGTAATCGATTGCTCCTTCAAACTCGTGAAAATGTTACGCTGTCGTAAAAATGTGGCAATCTTGTTTTGCTCATGTTATTTAAGATGTTTTGCCTACTTAATGACATAAATAAGAATGTGGTAGAAAGATTTATTATAAGGGTCACAAAACTTCTTTTTCATCATCTGGTGATGATAGTGGTATAATACGTTGAAGTTTCATCAACGCCTTTTTGTTATAAATTTTTATTTTAAATAAAATGTTGGTTAGAAAAATGTCTATTATTGCCATTAACCATTGAATTATCATGTGATAATAGTGATGACTAAATGTTATGTGGTTTCATTCACTTAGTTTTATTTTCAACTTGTAACATGTGATAAAGACGTTATGATATCCTATACCTTTAAACGAGCAATTCTTGTATAATATATAATAATAATAATAAAGCCTCTTTATTCCTTATCCCTACGTTTCTACATTTTACATTTCCATGTTGATTAATACTTATTGTTAGTATTATTAGCTTATTTCATATTAGTTATTGTTAGTACGGTTAACTGTGTATATTTTCAGAGATATGGATCCCATTTTGAGTAAAGGCCTCCTCCATCTGATTCCACATTTCTCTATTTATACTTTTGCTCATCCAATCTTTTCCTGAATACTGTATTATGTCATCTTGTACATATACAATATATAACTAATTAAACCCTCAGACACCCCAATTAGTATATTATGTTATAATCATAATACATACACTGGAATTTTTAGTTAAACATTTAGCACTGATTATTGTATCAAATTAGTCAATTCCGGAAGAATGTTTCGTGGTCACTAAAGACTAAAGACTTTAACGTGCTTGAAATAAAGTTCATTTTTCTTTATTTTTATTGAATGACAGAATTAGTAATAATACAAATAAAATTGCACTCTTAAAAGTCTTATTGCCTTAAGTTACGGTTCATTTCTGTTTGTTTTGACTGTACAGATTTAATGTGACTGTAATTTACGTAGTTTTAATTATTTTTGGGATAAAAAATTACCTATATATAAAAATGATAGGAATCATTCAGTAAAGGATTCTGAACAAACTACTTTCTCAAAGGCGTTATTTATGTATACATGTAATGTAATCGGGATCTCGGAAACGGCTCCAACGATTTTCATAAAATTTTGTGTCCAGGGAGTTTCGGGGGCAATAAATCGATCTAGCTAGGATTTATTTTTTAGAAAATGTCTTTTTGTCCGTGTTTTTAGGCAATGAAAAACTGCTACAATATCATTAGAATAAGTTATAGGTAAATTTTGACAGTTTATTAATAATTATAAATAGATTAATTGGTATTTGGGCGGTCACAGATTCGTAAAACCGTGGTTCGAGCCCAGACCGACCGACCAACTTTTTTTAAATTTTTTTTCAAGTTCCTTTCTTTTTTTGAGAAAATTTATTTTTTCGAGCCCTTTTTTAGTATTTTTTAAAAACTCGAAAATTTAAATTAAACTAATTGCACTCATGATTTTTTATTCAAATAACCAGTTCCGTTTTTTCTATTATGTCGCTAAGATCAAAAATATTATTTGTATTTCATCAGTATGTAATTTGTATCTAAATATAATTTCCAAAACACACGAATTAAAAAAAAACCGAGCGAAAAATACCGAGCAAAGCTCGGTCAACCAGTTACTGATTGTTATTAAAAATAACTGTCATTTCGTTAGTAGGATTTACTATTTAGTACCTTCTGTCTTACAGAACATTAAACCTAATAATCACAGAAATCTAAATGTTGTTTAGAAATTATTAGCACAGAAATCTATACTTATATTGTTAAGATTTGTGCTAATAATTTTCACATAATTAGGGATTATTAAAATTTTATCAACCTTAGGTAACTTAGGAACAGTCACATGTTATAACAATAATAAATCCATCAAAGTTATATTAAAAAAACTTAATAAAAAATTTTTTTATTAAAATTATTTGAACTTTGAATTAAAATATTTTGCATTCCTACATATACGAGCCTCCTTTTTATACACAAAATGACATCATTACTTTATTTCAGTTTACCAATTTAAAATTAATTAATTATTTTCAGGTCAGACGTCCAAGTCGACGTAAGCAGTTGCAAGAATCTCAACTGGTAAAAGAAGAGAAAGAGAATGAAGTAACCATCATAAACTTCGGCAAAGGCCCCGTACCAGAATTTCGTCTGCCACGGTCACACCGGCAGTACATGCTAGACGAAACTGACAGCGATCTTTCCTACATGATAGAAAATTCTACTTCAACTACTTTGGACTCTGCTATTGACCTTGATAGATAAAAATCTCTCATGATTCGAGGCGAATTATATAATTTCAACAGAAAAAACATATACATTTAAAACAACAAATGTAAATTATATTTCGTACATTTATTTAGTTTTATGCTTGTGGTCTAAAATTGTGTTAAAGCCTAATCAATGAAAATATTTTTTTATCGCAGCATACAACATAATTATTTATATCGCCACTTCTATTGACGTTTTTATCGAGTTTTAAGGAAACTACTGTCTCACATAAGCCAATAAGTATCTTAAAAGTATTATTACAGCTCTCAGACATTCCAATTTTCATTGAGAGTACTAACACAGCAGGCTCATTGGTGTCTATAGGCTGCAGGTTTGTTTGTCGCGTCAGTTTTATCTAAAAAAGCAGCAGAGGAAAACTGAAACAGAAGCTGGGCAGCAACACGCTCCTGATCACAAATCAATAATAATAATAAATTCTGCGGTTGGCACGCCTAAGAAGAAGCGTGCCAGCGTGCCCTGCCTGCCAAGCGTGGCAACTATGGCAATCAATGGGCGTGACCACATCTCTTTAAAATTGATGCTATATACCACATTTCCGCCGATCACATTATTTAGTACTAAATTATTAAGCAGAAATCAACGAACTATTTATTACTTTAGTCACATATTATATACAAAATGTGACAAATATCCTGTGGATTCCGTTAAGTGCGCTATCAGAATCAGTATTCAAACTAATCGAAATAACTTTACTACAGAAAACTCAATCATAAGCCAATCAAATTTAATTTAAATAATTTTTATATGCAAATTGTATGTGGTTTTATCACCGCTATTTGGATCGGGCAGTAACAGCATAATCAAATATCCCACTTCATAAACGCGCATGTCAGTTAGTTCAGATTAAATAACATTTTTTAAAAAGAGTAAATTTTGTAAGTTTTGTGAACCTACTGTGAATACTAAAATACCTTCAACAATAACGATTGAAAAAATTCACTGTCATAAACTTCACGCCTATATGTACGTCCCCAAAAAGGATGACAGCGTTGTTTGTTACATAATGTATGTGATTTGATGTTTTGAAACACCTGATCCAAATTTGAAAATATTTTACTTATTGAAGATATAATTAATAATAGGAATATTTCTTTCTAAATAAAATTGAAGTTATTTACCTACTGAATGTATTTTTTCTCATTTCAAGTCAAACAAACGATAAATATTTCGTTTCATTTTATTACCCAATTTTCAATACTATGAGAATAGCAATAGCATAAAAGTAGATTGTTTTCATGTCAACAAAACTTGCATTTGGAAGGTATATACTTCCAATGTATATAAAGAGCGTGGTAAAGTTTTTTATATGCAAAGCAACAATTTTTACTTTCTTAGACAGTATAGTGGCAGGTAAATCTATTATTAAATCTATTTTAGTTTGTTAGTACTCACATCATTTTTTATTCTCAATACGAAGTTGCTGAGGTAGTTAATTATTAATTGTTGAAGTATTAATATCAGATACTTTTTTAACTTTTACATTTAATGAGCTTAGTAAAACACGAATAAAACCGAAGGTGAATTAATATGTCATTTGATTGAGGTTTGTTGTTTTAATTATTATCAAATCTATAGGATTAATAATAAATGGAAATAAAGCTTTGATTGATGCCATAAAACATAATTTACAAACAAACAACGATGATTACTTAGAAGATACTATCATTAATACTAAAACTGTGTCAAATGTTACACTTAATAATAATACACTTGCGGATATAACAGAGGGTAATAACTCTAACAATAATCATAAAAAACAAACTGTACAAAAAAATACAAATGCAAATAATCGTGAAGTTATTAACAGAAGATCTTATAATAATACATTTTTTGCGCCTATCCAACCAATTCCTCACAAAATGATATTTATGAATGAAACAACGTTAAACACATCATCTACTGAAACCCAAAACTTTAGAAACAAGTGGAGTGGTAAGTTACTTCTTCCGCTAAAAAGGGAGCAAGTATTTCAATCTGACACAGAATTCAATACAATGACAATAAAACCGATGCAAAATAAATCAAAATTATCAGGCGAAAAAATGAGACAGTTGATACAATTAAAAAGGAATTTGACGAAACAAATGACAGTAAAGAAACAACCAATGAGGGAACTTAAGGAATCGTTGCCTTTGCCAGACAAACGGAAGGTCGAAGTAAAGGACGTGATCAAGTCAGCAGCGCGAAAGCGGAGTAACAAGCTATTAAAGTCTGGGAAAGTGCTCAACCCAGAAATGTTGGACATGATTGCAGCTAAAGACAATCGACTTAACTCTAAAAGATCTAAGGTAAATCTATTTGTCGCACTAATAGAATAAATTATAAATATATTTCAGTATTATAAATAGGACGTGTTTTATCATTAACACTGATTCAAAAGAATACCTTCGGCAAATGACCAGCAAAAAACAAGCGGAATATTTTTTTAATCATAAATCCTTATAAACTACAAATTATATTACTTTTAATAAAGATACAGAAGACACATTATAGGGAAGAGGCTCCTGATTTTGATTATTATCATCATCATTACAGCCCTTCACAAGTCCACTGCCGAAAATAAGCCAAAACGAGGTCCTAAGCCACCTCCATCCATCGACACCTTTTAAGTGGTCATCACTCCATCTAGTTAGAGCCGCTACCTTTCGCTTACGACGCTGCCAAACGAGAAGTCAAGAACCTTTCTTCCTCATTGGTTGTCGATTCTTCGAGCTACATGGCCGGCCCATTGCCACTTCCAGATCTCAGCCTTCTCTAGTTCTCCTGCGAAAATGAGGATATCCGCAGTGGGACCACTGTAACCAAGATAGCCCAACGGATTGCTTATTACAACGTTTTCATCAACTCGCTTCGTGTATGTCTGTTCGGATCGAATTATTATTGATTTTAAACTAACTTTCAGATGAGCTAGTGACTTGAAATTTTGAAGGTAGCACAATATCGGATAACAATGTAAGGATTTTTTTAGTAGAATAAGGGTGACAAACGGCACACAATCAACCACATGGTAATTGAATGCAGTGGCCCATATAAGTTTACATTTATCCTCAATTTGGAATCGAATGCAGACGCGTTGTGACCGCTGAGGATTAAGATGGAATGCCTGAGTAGAGAACAGGATGATGATAAAATCAACTCCTGTTCCCATTGATGTACACTTCCACGATTAATAATGATAGTTACAACCAATATTAATGTATGGCCGCCAGGGCCGGCTGTGCAACCGCCACGTGCTGATCCCCGAGGGACCGAAGTACGACAGCGCAGGGCGCGTGTACCTGCCTGCCCACGCGGACTCGCAGCCCTTCGAACGCACGCCTCGACCACGACTACTGCTGCCCATCTGTTGCAACTGCTGCAAGAAGTCCGTGCTCGGCTGCCAGTGACGTGAAAGCAAATAAACGCTCACACCCGCATATTTTGCGTACATATTCTTCCGCCTCATATTCTTTTTTATTTATTGAAACGTTTATGCACAAGAAAATACTGCATATGGCGTACTTATTGCATTAAGGCATCCTCTCCCGGTCAACTATTAAAGTAAGGCTAAGCATATATAAAAAAAGAAAAAGAGGTGTAGATAAACCAAAATATGAACAAAAGACACCGCTGTCGACGAACAGTCTCACATCGTGATAGTTTGCACTGCGTGACAACGTCGCTTTTTAATGTTCAAGTATTAAAGTTCATTGAAACATTGACCTAGTGACCTAATTCTACAGCGTTCAAATTAGCTCAAATTTAAAACGCTACTTTTTGACCTAACTACTGGACCGATTTCGTTCATTTTTTGTATATCGTCAGCAAAGACGATAAAAAGTATGTGGTTTCATTTATTGATTATATATGGTACCCATTCTGTATATTACTAACTTGGCGTTGTGACATTCCTTGGTCTACTCAATAGAGTACAAAAGAAAAACCGACTTAAATTTACTACAAGAATAAAATAATTTATACATATTAGCTTCCGATGTCGGGGCTAGATCGGATATTAATTCTTATATACACTATGTCTTAGCATCGACCTCATAAGCTATTATGAGGAAATTATTTTATTCTTTTAGTTCCAATAGTATCAAAATGATTCGTGCTAGATGCACTGCGCTCGCCATCACTCTCACACAGAGAACATTGTAGTGTGAGTCAATTACGCCGTTCCAGAGCGAATTCGACTTGCGCAAATTTGAATATACGCTCTTAAAGAAATAGCCTAATCTTGTGGCCTCTTCTCACATCTCAGTTTTTGGTTTTCTTGTCACATCCGGTAGTGTGTCAATTCAATTATTGAACATTTTTCTCCTTATTTTTATTTCTCCATTAATTTTGTACAGTGCAACCGTAAATTTTAGTGTGTAAGCGATTTATTTAGGTCTATCAACTATCATTTAAAGGTGTTCCGTACAAAATTTTTAAGCTATTGCATAGCTTTTATCGCGGGCTTTGAGCGCGGTGACCGAATCAAGAAATTCCGTAACGAAAATAAACCTAACACAGTGTTTGTGTGCGTGCGACTAGACGTATGCGTGTAGACTAGCTGCTAACTGCTCATAACTGATTCTATCTCTTTTAGACACAATGCTAGGTGAGACAGCGTGCTTTTTGGACGCGTCCACGAGTGAGTTCGAGCCCGCGACTAGTTGAACCTTAACGTGTTTGTATATGGTACGACTGTACGAAGATATCAAAGATAAAAACAAAGAAAAAAACTGCATAAATAAAATAAATAAATAATTATAATTGCATAAGTTGATAAAAATGCTATGCAATAGCTTTACCGCGGCAGTCCCCGAGTGCCACATATTATTTTTTTATTATGTGCCACAGTATTTTTTTATTTATAATATTTTCCCATTTTATTTAAAAAAGACTTCACGGTCGACATGTGATATTAGTAGCCCCCCGATATATTTCCAATGAACTCATATAGTATAAACGAAGATTTTTGGAAGTGTATAATCTGTACACTAGTCCTCTCGTAAAGTCTAAATGTTTTCATTTTAATTGATGTTTATGGTGTGTTCAATTTAATTTAATTTAGGTAAAAGAATACAAACAAAATCAGTCATAATGTTTTATTTATATTTAATCTTAACGAAATAACTTATACACAACATCACAATGTTCCGCTTCGAAGCGTCGTCACTTAGTCGGCGGCGAGACGACGGACCGACGGAAACTGAAGGACGCACATCGATTAAATGTGCGTGCAATGATATCCCCCAGTATGTACACGACCACGTTCTTCACAGCGCCATCTTGCGGCCTTCTATTGAAATTTCAACAGCGCGTCTCGATCCGCTCTTCATCCGTTTCTGGTCCATAAATTTCTTCATTTGCTTTTCATAACGCGTCATCTTCTTTTTGCTTACCTAGAGTTGTAAATCAAAAAGTCACAACGTTGTACCTTTTGCCAACATGAACATAAAATTTATTTCAAAATATACAATACAAATAACGAGTAATGGGATTCTTTAGAGTAATTTCACGGGAACACAAGTTAAACAAGCATAAGTGATCAATTCGATCTATATAAAAGACTGTTCTACAAACCCACATTGAGTTAGTCCCTAGAGCCGGATATGAAACGGCACAATCTATGGTTACTAATACACAAACATTTTGTCATCTCTAAGGGCTACTACTCTATATCGTCCCGCGGGTGTCGCGTAAAAGTCGACGAAGAGAAACTGACACAGGAGATGCGAAGCAGCATAATCCTCATAAGAACTCAAAATAATAAAAACGGAAGTTGCCAACCTGCCTGCCAAGCGTGGCGAAGCGTGGCAAAGATACTAAAATCTCCGCTACGACAAACTATGAGGGACGCATGTGTTCAGCAGTGGACATACATACTACTGCTTTTATATGCGTGAACGAAATGGCTAAAGGGAATGCTTCGATGTCAGTAATCAAATGATATGTATGTATTATAGCTCCTCTACACGATGGGCCAGCGCTGGCCCAGCGAGATGGTCATGCGATGCCCAGCGACATTCAGTTGTGATCGAAACGTTTTTCGAGATGGATGTGGAAGAATGAGCCGCTGCGACAATATATTTATACAACATGCACTTAATGTTCACAAGAATAGAGTTATCAAAAAGAAAAGGCGTAGAAGAAGATAGTGGATGTTATCTATCTATCGCAATAGAGCTAAATATTGTTGCGCGCCTAAGTTAATGTCTGGTACAGGTACAGGTGCCAGGGCACTAAAGCCATCTAGTGTCGGGGAACAGAGCGAGGAGGGCTTCCTATAAAATGCCAATCTTGAACTTTCCACCAACAGCGCCATCAAGTGTCGAACAGAAGAATTAAGCTTTCTAGAAGCCCCACACTCGAACTTTCTGCGCCTGGTCGGTCGGTGCCCGTATTTGCTGGAATATTCTGGATGTTTCTGTGGAAGAGCCCTATATAAAACCGTTGATAGCCACGATCGGGGCGGTATTGAATTGGCAATACGAGCGAAGCTTTCGGAGTGAAATCAAGTGAACTAAAGTGTTAAGTTTGAATAATTATTAGTGTAATTTAAGTTTTAATTAGTGTTCAGTAATTAAAGTTCAATTTTGGTAATTTAATCGGCAGTTTTTATTGTCACAAACTCTAATCTCGTAATAATATGTTCTAAGACAATTTAGTTTTCTTTAAACAAAAATTATTAAATAATTATAATTAAATAATTAATAATTTAATTAAAAGTTATTAATTAGTTATAAAAAAAAAGTATGTATACGTTCTAATTTTAGTAGCTCTATGATTAAAATTTTATAACTTCATTATGAAACCACATATTGGTCATTTTTAATTCGTTAATTAATATTATAAACAATATATATTATATATTAATAAACAAAGCACGAATATCCACACTCAACCGTCGAGCGCGCACAACCGTCGAATGGGCCACGTGTAGATGCGTACCGCCATCGCTGGCCCACTACCCTTGATGTGCGGCGGAAAAACCGACACCGTCGCCATCCCCTAGACCATCGCACGCGCCATAAGCCATCCGATACAACTACGCCCTCCACACGCTGGCCCATCATAGTGGACCATCGCGATGGCCCATCGTGTAGAGGAGCTATTAGATTTCAACAGAGACGGGCAATAATACCTAGCGGCGTTCGCAGGTTAAATCCATGTAGGTTGGTGAATGAGTGAGTGAATGGGTGTGTGTGTACTCACGCGCGACATGTCGGTGTCGCAGGTGGACTTGGGGCGCACGACATAGTCCTTGTTGGAGGGCAGCGGCACGCGTGCGCGCGATACCCAACCCGGCTCGCCCGGCCGCGCCGCACTGCAACATAACGCCATACCAAGTTACTGTCCCACTGTACAAAGATAACATAAACCGATACCCCGTACGACGTTACCCTGTCACTGTACAAATGATGCCAGAGTTCTGTACGATGTTACAGCCTGGCCGCGGGGATCGGCGGCGCGAACGGCGAAGCGACAAGCGCGGCGACTATTCGCGCGGAGCGATTTGCGGGCCACGGGAAGTCACGTTTGCCGCCGCGACCAGACAGGCCGAGAGTGAAATGTCTTTATCACAGTTATCTCGATATTGCTTAGAAACTAATTGTTTTTTGATTCAAGACAATATTTGGAAGTACAAGATTTGGATAGAGTATCGGGTTATAGATAGAAAATTCCACAAAAAATAGAATGCATCTAGAAAAATATTTCGAGTAAATACCAGAATGATGTCGAAACCTGCGATTATATTCTTGTTAATATTCAACCAGAATTGGAGATAAAAGTCAATGCGGATAGAATTTTAAGTTTTTTTACAGTAACAGAGTCGCCGCAGCAAGGATATTCTATAAGAGTCACATAAATTGACTCGCGAGCAATCGTTCGACATACTTTAGTACCTATATTATAGATATAATTTACTAAGTACTTAAGCAAAGTTAATATAAAATATAACAGTTTTATTTCTGATACGCCCCCGCCTCTCTCCCTCCCCTGGCGTGTGCGTGTGTGCGTGCGCGCGCGTGTGTATGTGTGTGTGTGCACGTACGTTCGTGAGTGTCAACGTGCATTCGTGAGTGTGCACGTGCGTGCGTGATTGTGCACGTGCGTGCATGAGTGTGCACGTGCGAGCGTGTATGTGCGTGCGTGCGCTGTGTGGTTGTGTAGTGTGTGCACACGAGCGCGCAAATTAAGTTGACAGCAATAACTTTATTTAAAAAATAATTTATTTATAAAAAGTAGCAGCGTTACAACTTATAATTACTTCCAAAACTAATATCAAACCTACAGTTAACTTAGCCTAGTATTTATATTAAAATATATCTTACTAAGCGACCCATGCGGTGACGCACTGCCTAATTCTCAGGAGAGCTGACTTAACCCGCGCGTGCGCGAGTGTGCGTGCGCACGAGTGCGTGCGTCCGTGTCTGCGCGTACACTTACCGGTCCGCGTCGCCAGCGGGCGCGTGCGCGGGGTGCGCAGCGGGCTGCGCGGCACGGCGCGACGGCCCCGCCCTAGCGCCTCCCCCTCCCCCGCCCCCACCACCGGCACCCCCACCAGGACCGTCCTCCCGCCGCCGCACGCCAGCCATCGCCTCGTCACGCGCCTGTCGCTCCTCACGGCTCATCGCTGTACAACCACGAATAAAACATTCAGTAGTCACAAGAATTTTTTCTTTTAATATTTTAAAACATGTTAATTATTTCTTATACGCGAACACTACACGGAGTAGATTCGGAGTACCCATGGTCACGGGGGACTGAGGTGATTGACGTCCCCATGTCAACGTTAACCCAGAGTACCTTCAGCTTTTTAATTATTACTTTTGGTCTGATCTATGCACATGGACTTACTGTGTCTGTAAGTAAGTCTTGTAGTAATTTGTTTGTGTTTAGTTTTAATTTTATCAATTACAGGATCCCAAGCAGGTGGTAGTACCCAACCTCCTTCTCTATGGAAATTAGGATGTCTTTTTATTTTAATTACCTCACGTACCATCCTTGGCAGGAATCGATGTTCTTTCACGAGGATTTGTGGTTTATCAAATGTATAAAGTTATATCTCATATTTAAAGCACTACAAAGAGGAGACCATGATAATAGGAAACACTATATACTGTATTTTTTCTCATTCTCTTCCAGGCGAAATCCTATATATGTATGTTTGTCTCTCTTTAGTGTCGTCTTTTTCGTTTCATCAAGTTTCAAGTCACAACAACAAAAAGTATTTTATAAAATTATTTAACAATTTATTTTTGATAAGGACCCTTTATTTTAATCTCGCCTTACAATCTCATAACACGCGAGTGCATACCTTACCTTACTTACTATACAGTGAACTGTCTGATTATAATGAATTTGATAATCTCATGTAGTCATCAAAAATATGCCTTTCGGACTACAGAATGCACCAAATACTTTTTAATTTGTCGCCTCAAGAGATGCGCACTTTAGATCATACAATACCTACCTTACGTCCGCTCCAAAAGAGCACTAATTAGATCAGAATTACTGCCCTATGAAAACTTTTTTAAACTATTTTTTCGTTTTAAACAAAACCAAAGACAATATGCAATAGATAATAGTATCAAAGACAAAGATATACTCTTTTATTTTAAACCATAACCTGGCAATGTTTCTTAGAAAAAAAAAAGAAATCACTCTGAACTTTCGGCGTTCCACGTGTCGCTTTGATGAATGTGCTCCGTCTTTTTTATAGAATTTTATATTTGTGTCTGGACTAAAAACGAAAGTATTATACTTTTTTTATATTCCTTGTAATATAGTAAACACGTAGATATATAATTTGTGGTATAAAAAGTGAAAAGTAAATTGCCAAAAGTACTTCAAAATCCGGAAGGCCCATTTTGGCGGTTGGGTCATAAATGTGTTATTTTTCAAATTCTCATTTATTTTTAGTGTAAAAGTAAAAATAGTTTTCTTACATATTTCAAATAACTTGACGTTGTATTTATTTCAAATTCACACAAAAATATTTTTGAAATATTGTTCGAAATGTCATACAGATGAAATATTATTATTTTTTTTAATTTTTTAATATTTTAATATTTTGGTATGAGTAACGAATAGAAACATAAAACATAAAAATATACATATTTCCAAATATTTTCATATAAATTTCTCCAAAAACAAAAGTGTAGAATTCAAATCAGTAGTAATTTTGTCACTAAAATTTAAGTATATATACTACTACTATGCTATACAGGGTAATTTATGTATTTTATTACAATTTCTAGCAACCAAAAATAATTTTATTCGATAGTTTATACCTTCAACAAGAATTCCTGTAAGTTTTATCCATAAATATTGTCTCAAAGTGAAAATATAGCAAAATTTGCAATATAGCAAAAAAATTTTCTAACTTACAAATTTTCCCGCCATTAAGGTCCCGAGGGAACGGGAGTATAACATGTCGCGCGCTGTCAGAGCGTACAGGTTAAGACAGTTAAATTTATTAACTGATATATTAATTATAAATTTTAAACAAGAGTAAAGTTTCAGCCTCTATACGTCCTACTGATGGGCACAGGCTTCCCCTCATTTCTGAAAAGGTTTTAGGCCAAGGAAGCGCTGCCCCTCTTCTCTTTGAAATATATTTTTCTAATCTCTCATACACATAGGTTTCCTTACAATATCCTTTACCGCCAAGCACGCCGCCTGGCGGGAATCGAACCCGGATTGCTCACGTGCTGTAAAATTTACAGTGAGCGCTAAGGCCCTTAACTACCACGGCTCTAATTTTTAACAAGGAATGCCATAAAGAAAACTACTCACCTTTGAAGTCAGTTGATAGATTGAATATGGGTCTGGCCCATTCAGAAATGAGTCGTCCAGCCCGTTCCCTGTTCGCCTTCGTTTCCTTTGGGTGCTTGTACAGGTACATGACCGCCTTACCGATACCAGATTGCTTTAGGAGCGATTTATCGATTGAGGGAAACTACAAAAAAGAAAAAATGATATAGTAAATCAACACAATGAGAGCCGTAGACTAAAATAATGAAGTTTTGTAAGATAAAATCTAATACATATAAACTTACATGCATTAAGAACATTCGAGACGCATACATTTCTAAATCATCCACGTAATTACATTATAATTTAAAAAAAATCGCAAACAAATAAATATTAGGATTAAATCCTATTTAAATAAATGCCATTTTAACAAAGTAAAGGCAACTTTATTAACATAACATATGGTCTTTCGAGCTGGATTGAAACCGATTTATTTGCAACCTGTCTAAATGACTTAATTAGTCGTTCACTCACGTCCATCAGCAACTTGAGGATACTCTCGCGGATAAGCAAACAGGGAAGTGCCCGGTTGGGCATGGGCGCCAACCAATCGCAAAGCACATTCAAAACGTTGTGTTCCAGAAACGCAAGCTGAAGGTCTTTTTTAATCAGCTGCGACATGGCCGACTTCAGCATCGACACCTGCAACCAGTGACATAGATTCTATAAAACTGTTTATTTATTTCATTTATTGTGACTTGAGTGAAATTTAGATAGAGTAGTCATTATATTTTTACCATTACGTGTTATAACCTTTACTGGCACCACTTGGCGGTACCCAAAAATGCAACATTAACAAAACCTCGTTTTGAAATATACCCTCTGGAAAAAATAGGGATAAATAATAGTGCCTATTGCTCTGATATTTTACAAAAAATAAAACAAAAATTTTGAATTAAACAATTGAAAAAAATATTTTGAACAATGTGCCCTTTGCCCTTGAGCCTGTGACCCTGCCAAGTGACAAGGTCAAAGATGCCCATAAAATTTATTCTTTTATTGCCGCTCGTAAAGTAGGCTACAATCGTATGCAGTAATATATTGTAAATTTACTTTATTTAAAAGTCCCGCTGGGTTTCTTGCTGGTTTTTCCCAGGCAGAGGTTTTTCTCCGAATCAGTGGTAGAAGTACTACATTAAATAAAAATGATTCCCCTCTATTTTAAAGCCGTTCCTGCTTACTCCAGAAATTAACCTTCCTATATCAGAAATGGAATTGAAGCTTTCCAAAATAACCCTACATTTTAATTACTTGCCCATGTACAACTATATCCATTGATATATATGTACTACGCACTAGATTTCGCATTCCGTACACACTTTGTTCAACTGAATTGTACTGCAATCTGTATACACCGTACTGCCATCCACAATTATAGACTAAAACAATGTTCCATTACAAAACCGAGTGGTGTAGAAAGTGATTTAATTTTTTTAATTGTTTTAGACCAGTTCATATTTTTTAATTCTTATGTTATGTTCTATCTTTTTAGTATAAATATCAACTAATGTTTGTTTTTTTACACATTATATATATATATATATATATATATATATATATATATATATATATATACTGTGTAGATCGGAACAAAAGTTAAATTTTAATCTATGGTAACCGCGGTTAACTATGACATCTGAACGTTGAACATCTTAGTCCTTCCCGTGACCATGGGTGCTGTAAAGCTCTCGAAACGTCGGGTAATTAAAAAGTTAAATATACGCGATAAATCCCGTAAAAACTAGTATTATTTCAAAACACTAATTTATCACTATGTCTACTTGACGACCACGAAGATGTTGTTCAATATGTCCACCTTGTAACGCACGCGTTGTATAACAGACATTTCGGACATTATTTTTTCAAAGGCTGCGACTATACGCATACGCATTTCTGCATCGGTATCGCATGTTTTTTGGAATACAGTCTGCTTAATCGTACCCTAGATATAAAAATCTAAAGGTGTGAGATCAGGTGATCGTGCCGGCCAGATGACCGGTCCACCGCGGCCAATCCATCTTTCACCGAACTCAGTATCCAAAAAACTTCTTACACAACGGGAGAAATGCGGCGGATCACCATCGTGTTGAAACCACATGCGACGAACGAGGCCTAAATTTATTTCGTCAAGTTCATCGCTTAGTTCTTGTCGCAAAAAACATCCGTAGTTTTCACCGCTCATTGTGTGGTCAAGGAAATACGGACCAATAATTTTATCACCTATAATTCCCGCCCACACATTGATTTTCCATCGGTGTTGAAAGTGGCTTGGTTTATACGAATGCGGATTTGTAGTTGACCATACGTGTTCATTATCTTAAATACACCTTTCTCAAAAGAGCATTCATCCGTAAAAAGTACGCGGTTCAAGAACTCAGAATCTCCTTCAACCTTATCAAGTAACCATCTACAGTAATCCATTCTCGGCTCGTAGTCGCTGGGAAGAAGACACTGAACTCGACGATAGTGTTACGGGTGCTGGCCATCATCTTTGAGGGCTCTCCAAACGCGCATATGGTTCACACCTAGTTCACGTGCCACCGAGCGCGTGCTCCGCGTCGCATCTTCCTCAAACATGTCGAGAATGTGCTCCTCGATGTCGTCGTCGTACATCCTCGGTCTTCCTGAATCTGTACGTTGTTGATCACGGCCATGCACACTGCCAGTATTGTACATACGAATGTGAAGTCGTTGGAACGTCATCGCCGACGGCAATTTTATATTTCGTGGAGTAGCAAAGCACTCCCCGTAAAGTCTTCGTGCTGCTGCATAATTGCAGTTACATTTCCCGAAATACATCAACATATTAAAATATTCCTCGTTTGAGTAAGACATCACACACAAATCACTCACGGCGGAATATTAATTTCGCAATATAAAACACAACCGTCAATATCAGTGCAAACGCGCTACTGGTGTCATGCACATGCTTGTTTGTTTGCATAGACGTGGCAAAGCTATTGTACTCTATAACATAATTTTGATATTTTCTAAATCGATAAATAATTTCATGATTTTTTTTATGTTATTTTTTTAATAATAGTTATTTTTTATTTTTTTACTTCAGACAGCGTCCGTAAGTGTTATTAAGAAATTAAATTATTACTAGGATTAGTAAAAATACATTAAAACACTTTTATAACAAGAAACATTTAAAAAAAATTCTTATAAATCCACACAATAACAAATACTTAAACTATTATGCTGCTATGTTTTTCAAAATCTAATTTTATCGACCGACGATAAACAATACTTTTTATATTTCTATTCTTGACCACTGAATTGTGACAAAATTTTATGTTTATAAAACTTCCCATGTTTTAAAATATTACTACTAAATATTAGCACAGAATAAATAATAGATATTGGATCAAAATTAGTTAATCGGCATAAAGTGGACGCTTCTATTTATCACTCGAAGAGTGGAGTTTTTTGGGTTTTTCCTAGTACCTAAGTCTTTCGTCGGCTTTCGCTTTTGAGTTCAAAGAGCGCGCAAAACGCCGCGTATATTACCTATTATTTTTTTTTGTTTATTATACTCTAGCAATAAACGACAATGTGAATTTATTTAAAAAAATAATTACTACCTACTACATATTCTTTATCGAATAATATTTCATATGAAAAATACATACTAAATTTCTCCTACAAATAGTTGCAAATTTGGATTTAATCACGCTGTTTTATGCATGAAATAACCTTTTTAAATATTTTCGTAGATCTATTTAGCAATAAAGTGGAAATTTATAACGTAAGTATTCAAATGATACTTATAATATACATAATGATACTAGATGTATAGTTGCAGCACGAATGGGTCGGCTCGACCGGGGAAGGACCACGCTCTCACAGAATACCAATGTAAAATAGCAGCTTAGTATTTCGTATGGAGTGTAGAGAACCGGAGAACCTTTTTACTGGAAAAGAGGCATTCCATCTTACTCCTCGGGGGTGCAACGCATCTGCATTTTAATTCGTAATCGAGGATAGATGTAGATGTCTATGGGCCGCAGCAACCACTTACCATCAGGTGGACTGTGTGCTCGTTTGTCACCCTATACTATAAAACAATACTATGTGTATTGGGGTTAAAATAATAACCATTTCATTATAATTTCTATTATTTTAAAATTAAAATTTTCTGAGAATAACTGAGTCTAGATAGGTATAAAGATTTACACAAAAACCTTGGGGAAGCACGCGCCGCTTAGCGGCTTGCTTTGAGTCGGCCATGTCAGTCTGTGACGTAGATAATATTATGTCGGCACGTGTCGGTAAGTTCAGAAGCAAATAACATTTTTAGAAATTTAATATTTCTTAAGTTATCTTATTAGAAACCCAAAAACCCCATTTAAAGCAACCAAAAAAAAATTCATTATCATAATTGCCATGGCTATGTGTACACCTATACGTATCTGAAACGACCAACAGGGTTTTTGTTACATACTGTATACAGGATGTTAGTGTAAACACCGTTGTCCTTGAAACCAGTGGTTTTGGTTTCACTTATAGAACGTAAATTCAATGAATTAAAAAAAACGCTATTTTCTTTCATAAAATTTAAAAAGTTGTCTGTCCGACACCGTCCGTAAAATCATGGATACTCTATGTGCTCGAGTGACATAGTCACTGTAAAGATCACCGCCCGCGCTAGCTAACTACACAACATTCAAGATAAAAACACAATAGGTACACATAACCTGTGATGTAACTTTTCCTTCATACTTTCATGCTGGCTTAGGAGAGGCAAAAATTGAGGAATTAAGGAAAAATTGAGATTTTACTAAAAAAATGTTGTTATTTTTCATTGAATTTACGTTCTATAAGTGAAACCAAACCACTGGTTTCAAGGACAGCGGTGTTTACACTAACACCTGTAAATATATATTAGGAATAAATTTATTTTTAAATAAAATGTAATAATAGTTTTACCTTTACCGTTATTACCGTTAGCAATTGTTACATAGTTACCTTTTAATATATGTGCTAATTTAACATAATATTATGTAAATATTACATTAAATTAGCACATATACAAAGTAAATGACAGTTAAAAAAGTGTATTGGATACAATTAACTAAACAATTTTACATACTGATAATTCTACCTACGTATAATAATCTACGATGACAGTAACTGCGTACAGTAATGTAGTACACATAACTCAGGGACTATATCTATCCCAGATGAAAAAAATGCACGATGCGGTGTTTCCAGTAAAACGTGTCTCCGGTTTTCTACACTCAACATACGAAACACGGTTTCATTGAGCCGATATTTTACGCTAACATCACGTGTTTAATGCTACAACGATAATATAGCTGCATGTTTTATCTTGCTCTACCATTTTAATTCTGAATACGACTTTAATTTAATTTTACATTCTGAATAAAGATGTCCATCAGTTTCCTGTAAAAGTTACAGGCTATAATGTTCGCGTATACCTTGCGTACTGCGGGCTGGTTGCGACGATTCAGTTCGCGGTCCTGCTCTGCCGCCTGGCGCATTTGCTGCAGCAGCTGAGCGATGAGATCGTCGTTATCGTTGATTATGTCGATATCCCTTCGTCGTCGTCGCCCGCGTCTTTCTTCTCGCTTACGCGCCAACATAATCTCAAAGTCTGACATGCCACCCAAGGCATCCGCGCTGGAATAAAATTAAATAGAAAAGCTCTAGAATATTATTTTTTTATTTAATTCTTATTGAAAGTTATTTCTTACTTTCACCACTGGTTCGGAATAGCCTCCTGTCCTGAGAGGAACCAGCAAGAACCCAAACACAAACAAAACCAAACAGCAAACCTGCTGCAAGAAAGCGTACAAACTAGTACAAAACTCAGCCCGAAAAAAGAAACCGTGAGGAGTTGCCAGTCTTCCCATCGGTTGCTAGTCCCAGGTGGCACACAGCGGAATTCACCTCAGATATGAGTAGAAGCGTCAAACCGCCGCGTTACAAACCAAAACTAATTGGGTTTTAACGATCGAAATAAGTTATTATTATAACTAAACAAAACAAAATTAAACTGCCATTTACATTCCATGGCTTCCTACGTGATAAATGAAGAGATTGAAAAAATGATTGCGTTGAACGATTGATATTTTCAAAAGTTATCGTGTTTACCTCCATGCGGACTTGATAAATCTACACCATAAGCCACTATAACCACTTTTTTAATTTAAAAATAGAAATTAATCCATTTAAAAAAATTCGTTCAACAATCATTTATCCCTCTGACAATGTACTTTTTATATCACTTATATGTTCAATATGATTGTTAGATAAGATTTCATGCGACAAAACGTTGAATTTTTGATTCTTAGGCGCTAGTAGAACATAGCTACGTGCTTTGCGCTTAAGGCATGCAGAACGGTGAATTAAAATTTCAGATTGATCATAAGGTTCAGCGAGGTTGTCAATCTTGCTCACCAAATAATCTATACAGCTTGGCGAGCTTGGGAAATCTTTCAAGCAATTAATGCCCAGTAACAAATTCTTAGGAAATCTTTCATCGAACAGTGGATTTAAAAAAGCTCATGACGATGACAATTTAGCATTTAAGTATGTTTAATAAACAGAAAACACGAAAACTGTAAGGAAAATGACATACGTCTTAGAATCCGGAGCGATTTCATCATCGGAGGAATCCTGTGCAGTTTGTTCTGCCTGTTTCGCCTCTGCGTCGGCTACTTTCGTCTCGTCTTCTCCATCACGCGCCTGATTTTCCTCTCCCTCACCCTCCTCATCTGATTGCAGCCGAACTGTCCGACGTTTCTTTTCGACTGACAAAAATAATCAGAACCCTCTGTCACTAGGCCATTGAGATAAAAAATATATAAACAAAATTTTAGTAAGCTACAAGTAAGATATAATTATAAGTTTTTTAACTATCGACGCGTAGAAATTGTGATGCTAAGCGGATGCTGCGGCCCATTACCCATACACTAAAATTTATCTACTAAAACAATTAAGCAGTAATTTGTTTTTGTAGATGATTAGTTAAAACTGGTGATGTAAATCTAAAGAAACTTTATGGTTGATATTTTTTTTATAGGATAGGATATGGTAACAAACGAGCACACAGTCCACCTGATGGTAAGTGGTTGCTGCGGCCCATAGACATCTGCATCTATCCTCGATTACAAATCAAAATGCAGGCGCGTTGTCACCCCTGAGGACTAAGATGTAATGCCCCGTTTCCAGTAAAAAGGGTCTCCGGTTCTCTACACTATTTATTTTGTGATTTTATATGTAATAATAAAATTATAAAATAAAATTATCTTTGAAATTCAATAAGCCTCGCCGTGCGTAATACATATAACATACATATTTCCTGTACCTTTGGCTATTTATATTAAGACAACACTTACCTCTGCGTGATGGGGAACCAGACCCCGAGCGGGAACGTGATCTGCGAAAAAAGAAACGAATATTTCATATTTAACTTAAATTGAGTGGCGAGCGTGCAACGGGGCAGAACGCTCGGCGTGACAAACAAGCACAAGTTCACCCGATTGATGAATGTTGTTTCCGATATACATCTACATTTATCCAACACTTAGAATCAAAATACAGATGCGGTGTCACCCTTGAGGACTGAGATGGAAGGCCTCGTTTCCATTAAAATGGGTCCCCAGTTCTCTAAAGTCACCATACGAAACACAGCAGCATTAAGTTGCTATTTTACGCTGGCATTCTATGAAAGCGTGGTCCTACCCCGGCCGCGCCGACCCATCTCTGCTACAACTTCCCCCTTCATTATATAGAAAAAAAAAAAGATTGGATTTTTTTTTCTATATAATGAAGGGATCAAACACTTGTAGCATGCCGATTTTGTCAAATTTCGCACGGATCTTTACTGGTTGATGAGGTGAGAATGAAACCACAGTCTGTAACGCCCGGCCGCAGCATCCAGTTAGCATCAGGTGGACTGTGTGCTCGTTAGTCACACGTATTCTATGAAAAACATAGAAACTTAAAAAAAACAATGTATGTCAGGAATAAAAAGTGATAAAAGAGCTAAGTCTATTTGATAGTGACTAACTAGTATAGCCGTTAGCCATGTACATGAACACCCAACTTAATACGACTTGATAAATAAATAAACAAGGTAGGTATAGCTAGGGTTGCCAGAGGTCTGGATAAAGCCAGACACAGTCAGGCTTTTTGGTTGCGAGTCCGGCCAAATTAGATGGTGTCCGGCTTATGTTAGGTTTTTTAAATTTGACCATTTCTTTACATTTTTCATATACTTACATACATACTATAGCAATTATTGAAATTAATATTATGAATGTTGCATAATTAATAATAAAGAAGACTGATTTATTCAATTGTTGTTATTTTGTTAGAACTTAAGAAGATTTTATGGTAAATGATAAAAAGCATTGTTTTACTTTAAAAAAAAATGTATCTTACAAAGACAAAAAATAAGGGTGTCTGGTCTTTTTAATTTCTTCTTCTTTGGTTTCAAATCCTATAATTAAACTCATTCTCTTACCCTTCAAACTGGAATAAAGTGAGGATGCTGCTTGCATAAATAACTACTTAAGAGGGTGATAACAACTCGCCCAGGCTCCCAGACAGGAAACAAGTCCCACCACCCAGTAGCAAAGTTATGTATAACATATACTGTCACCGTTACAGCCTATTAAGTCCTCTACTGAACATAGAATAGAATAGAATAATTTTTTTATTCAATATAAATTACAAGTAATTCTTATTGAAAGTCAATTTTTTATGTTACCACTGGTTCGAAAAAAGACTTCTGTCCTGGGAAGAACCAGCAATAAACCTGGCGGGACTTTTTTTTAAAATAAATATACAATGCCAAGGGTCACAAAATATTTACAAAATTTATTTTAGAAACAGCTTGGAAGCGATCACCTCATTCCGATGGGTTATTATCAACCATGTATTCATTTATATTATAATAACCCTTTTTATACAGTTTTTATTTAACTAAATATTTAAACTTGGTAATAGAGAGACCCTGTATATTTTCTGGGACTTTGTTGTAATAGCGTATACATTGCCCTAAGAATGAATTACTGACTCTGTGGAGCGGAGAAACTGGTAGCACGAAGCTTGTGTTTATTCCTAGTGTTTATATATATAGCATAGGCGTCCCCCATAGGAAGACATTTATTTGATATGGTGGCCACGCTTGGCAAGCAAGTTGGCCACCGCAGTTTTTATTTTTAGTCGTTATTATGCAGACGCTACTGCCCATCTGCTTATTGGTTTCCTCTGTCACGTGTCACGACACGCGCGGGACGACACGGGCTAGTGGATACTCTTACACCGCCACTCCACGGTACCCAACTATACATTTACTTGCATTTGTATAAAACTTCACTCACCTGGAGCCAGACTTAGCTGAGCCGGAACGGGACCGCGAACGGGACTTCGAACGTGATTTGGAGCGCGACCGGGACTTTGCCACGGACTTGGAGCGCGAGCGCGACTTCGACACGGATCTGGACCTCGAACGAGAACGTTTGCGCGATCTTGAAGGCGAACGGGACCCTGACTTCGAACGCGAACGTGAGCGAGATCCGGAATGGGATTTCAGGCGTTTGGTGCGAGATTTTGAACGAGATCTCGAACCAGAGCCGGAACGAACGGAAACTTTTCTTTTGCGTCCTGAAATGTAAAAGAAACATTATTGCTTACGCTAAGGAGCTGTCAAAATGAACTTTATTTGCTTATAAAAATTCCTAGACTCACCGCGGACTACTTCTTCGTCGTCCTCGTCCACATTTTCAGGAGATTTGCTTCTAGCACGAACGTCATCTGGCGATCGACTCCTTGATTTTGATTTTGACTTCTCTCGCGATTTGCTCCGAGATCGACTTCGCGACTTAGACTTTCTAGAGGTAGACGGGGATTTTACGGCGGAACCACTTCTGGATCGCGACTTTCTTGGCGACCCGCTCCCTGATCTGCTTCGCGATCTTGATTTAGACTTAGCACGGGAACCACTTCGCGATCGAGATTTTGCCGGGGAACCGCTTCTAGACATTGATCTACTACGTGATCTTGATTTTCGTGAGCCACTTCTAGATCTAGACTTTGCTGGTGACCCACTTCGGGATCTTGACTTAGCTGGAGACCCACTTCGCGACCTAGATTTTTCTCGTGACCCACTTCGCGACCTTGACCTAGCTGGTGATCCACTTCGCGATCTTGACTTAGCAGGTGATCCACTTCGAGATCGCGATTTGGCTGGTGAGCCACTCCTTGATCTAGACTTAGCTGGCGAACCACTCCTGGATCTAGACTTGGCAGGTGAACCACTCCTACTCCTAGACCTAGATTTCGATACCGAACCACTTCTCGATCTCGATTTGGCTGGCGAACCACTCCTGGACCTCGATTTCGCTGGCGAACCACTCCTGGATCTCGATTTGGCTGGCGAACCACTCCTGGACCTCGATTTGGCTGGTGAACCACTCCTGGACCTCTCACCACCCTCTATGGTGAACCACTCCTGGATCTCGATTTGGCTGGTGAACCACTCTTTGACCTTGATTTAGCAGGTGAACCACTTCTAGATCTAGATTTAGCAGGCGAACCACTATGAGATCGGGATCGAGCTGGTGAACCGCTACGGGACCTGGTTTTAGCAGGTGAGCCACTCCTTGAACGACCGGAACTTCGTGATCCCGAGCGCGAGGAAGCACGCGAACCACTTCTAGAACGGGAACTAGATTTAGAGCGCGAGCGCGAACGTGATCCTGATTTAGATCTAGATCTAGACCTAGAGTGTGCAGATCCATCGTGGGACATCTTCGACTCGGAGCCCTCCTGAAGAATAAAACAAGTAATTTTTTTTAACATGAATAAAAACTTAATTTATTTACTATCCTAATAAATAATTTATGTAACATTACTGGAAAATAGTGTTCCTTCTGCTAGATTTTAATTTATTTTAACATCAGCTCCAAACTGAGACTATAAAATAATTAATATATATAAATTTACAGCGTCGCTAACCATCTGCCGGCAACCGCCGTAACCAATGAAATTGTTAATTGCAATTTTAAGTGCTGATTTACCACTTGCTCGGCGATGAAGGAAAACATCGTGAGGAAACCTGCATGTCTGAGAAATAAGAATATATATATATTATATTGAGGCACGTGAATATTTGCCAACACGCATTGGGGCGGCGCGGGGGACACTTACTTGTCCTAAAATCCCTCTTAGAAATGAGGGGAGGCCTATGCCCAGCAGTGGGACTTTTACAGGCTGTAACTTTACTTTATTTATATATAAATATCATGTTCAATCCTCAATCATAACATTGTTGCCGCTGAGAAAATCAAATAATTAATAATAAATTCAAATTAAAAACAATATAATAAAACTTTCAAAAAAAAATGTAAAAACTGACTTTAAAAATTTAAAAACAATAAAATAAATTCCACATCATTCATAGCCTTTGTAACCAGTATTATTAAAATGATATTGTTATGTACTGTCAACAGGAGAAAAAATAACACAAATTATCACCAAAAATGGTTTAGTTCTTAGCCATCACTTCTTGATTTTAATAACCTTGCAACCTGTACAAAAAAGTACATCGAAGTTGCGTATCAAAAAAATTATTTTATATTTTCACAATCCATAATTTAAATTTGCATATAATTTAGGTGTTACTAAATTATTATTAAAACATATAGGTTCCATTACATTCTGTACAAAGCCGGGTTTTCACTATGCGAGTACTCCCGAACCGAGTGCGCTCATACGAGCTAGATCATATATTAGTCCACTCTAAACTTGGTAGACATGTTGCAAGTTCTACAGCGTCAAAGTAGCATTTAATTTTGTCTCCTTGTACGCTATGACGATATATCAATTGTTGCGAGGTATAAAAGTTGTTTCAGATATGGTCATCACTGAAGTTCAAAATCATGAAAGGATAAAACTCAAAGCAAGTGAAAAGTTTGGACCCACGCTGGATTTTAAGACGTGACGAACTAGTCGCTTCAAATAATTTTATTCGTGAAGTGGAAGAGGAAGATAAAACCACTTTTAGAAATCATTTGAGATTAAACAGCGACGATAGACCTCGTATGTGAAGACAAGAGCCTAATTCGCATTATTTTGCAAATCTTAACCATCAGGATAGTTATTTTTCTCAGTTAGCAGGACAGCAAAGTAGCAATTTTAAAAATTACTTTTGCAGCGTTTTTACGTATTGCAGCATTTCGGGCATCTTTGTTATTATATTCAGTTAATTTGACGTTCCACAACACTTCCTCCGCTTCATATAGTTCAACAAACCTCAGGGTGACACATTCATTCCATTTTTTTTAGTTGACGCCATTTAGTCACCTTGAAATTATTCGAGTATCCTCGAAAAACTAGAACCTCATCCAACTCCACTCTGATCGGATGACGCTTACGTGACGCTTACGCTCGGATTACGTGTTTACACACTACGGCTGAGATCTATAGACCATACTTTGATTTTTCTCAGACTGCTTTCGAGCTAAGACAATAAGTCGGTATTTATAGAGCTAACTTCGAAGTCGTACTGAGTGCGCGCTTAGCATAGCCTAAGTCAATTAAATCGACGACTTACGAAAAACTCAGGATATTAACCAAAACCACCATGTTAATTTTAAATAGTTGTTTTTATGTTACTTTAATTATTTATAACAATAAATAGGTATTTTAAGACCGTCTTCTAGGCATTCATCTATTTCCTATTTAAGTAATTTCAAACTTATTTCGAATTTCTTAAAATCTTTTTTTAGAGCTTAATCTTAGCCCAAAAGATTAATATAATAATAATGCTAAGCATATGCTCAGATAAGTTTTTCGTAAGTAAAGTCTGATCAAAGTCAAAGTAGGGTCTGTAGATCTCAGCTTATGAGTAATGTCCGAGTAGGCATCCAAGCGCACTCGGTCAGAGAGTACTCATATAGTGAAAATGCGGCATAATCTAGGCATACAAATTTTAAATAAATATTTAGTACAAAATTTTTTATCATTATTTTTTCATTTACATTTGATAAATGTTAGTTTTTTTTATTTTTTATAATAAAAGTCCGAATATAATAAAAAATGTTTGATCCACACATTGGTCGAGTGAAGTAAAAGTAAAGTTATAGCCCATATACATCCCACAGGTAGGCAAAATCCTCCTCTCAATCTGGGAATGTTCTAGGGTAAGAATCAAGATGGCATACAAGTGAATTAACAAGAAAAAAATCTTTGGATATCTGTATACAGTTTTTTTCTTGTTAATTCATGATTGAACTGTAGTAGACCCAAGTGGACACACTTAAATCTCCTAGACTAAAATGTAAAGGTACTTACTGATCTGCTACGCGAACGCGACTTTCTTCCATCTGCAAAGAACAATAAATTTTAACAATTCTTCTTTATGCCTTAATAAATCAGCCATCTTGTGTTCACAAGACTTAGTTTTGTTATAAAAAAAACTCCACACGAAGATTTTCACATGTATTGTGGGGCAGTTTACATACATAAATTGCACAAGGATTTATTTTCGTAATTTTGATTTATAATACTTAATGTGTTTAAATTTCAATAATTTTATACCAGAAAGGGTTAATGTGTTGTACTATATTTTTTATAACAACTATAAAACACACACATTATGCAAAATAAATAAATAAAGAACAATCATTCAGACCCAGAACAAGTACATATATTTGAAGGCCATACAAATACTTGTTCTGTGCAGGAAGCAATGCAGGATTTATGCAACCCTCAGTGCTTGAACAGCATAAATATATTTTAAGCATGTAACAAAGCTGAGAAAATATGGTGGAACTACTCATGTATATTACTACCATTGCATATCAAAAAATTTGCAACAAATTGCTATTAAAACAAAATTTTAATGACTGCCGAATACATTATCATTTGATATGGGAATACTTATTTATAAAGAACATATACAGAAGATTTCTTTTTAGTAGTAAAAATGTGTCTTAGGTTCCAAACCTACATCTGTAATAAACACAGTCAGGCCATTATTAACCTCACATTGATTACTGACATGTCTGCAAAGAAGCCTTATGCTTGAATCATAAATGGGTCTGCTTCATATTTATATGTCAACATCCCTCCAACACTGCCTAAAGACTAGGGTTTCCGATTTCTCGAGGTTTTTTAGTTCTCGGGTGTCGAGACTTCTAGAGCCTGATTTCTCGGGTCTTCTCGGGTTGTCGAGAAAAAATAAAATACGTCTAAATTTTTGTTTAATTAATAAAAAGAGTCTTTAATTTAACTGTGTTTATTTTACATGAAAAAAAAATCAACATAATTTTTAACAAAAAAAACAAGTTCTCAATAAAAAATCAGCTCAAAACAAAATTGCTAACTAAAAACAATCATACTTCTTCTCCTTATCATAACTAACCTCATCTCACTAATCTGTAATAAAAAACAAAATCTCTGTTAACAATCAGCTTAAAACAAACATCTTAACTAAAAACAATCATACTTCTTCTTATTATAACTAATCTCACTAATATTTAAGAAAAAACAAAATCTCTGTTAACAATCAGCTTAAAACAAACATCTTAACTAAAAACAATCATAATTTTTCTCATCATAACTAAAGATCACTCACTAATCTCACTATGTGGGTGGTATGGTATCACAATTTTTGGCAGTTTTAATGTAATTAAATAAGAGATATCTATCTACTATTAATACGAAAAATATAACTGTCTTTAAGCCTGCTTATTAATTCTTATGAAATATGCCTTAAGATAAACCAAAGCATTAATAGATTTATCAGACAGCCGGCTCCTAATCTTACTGACCACATTTCCCGATATGGAAAATACCCTTTCATTTTCTGTTGAAGTCGGCTTGACTGAAATTAATGCTTTGTATAGTGTTTCCAGATTAGGGGTCCTCTTGCCTGTTTTTTCAAATAGCAAAAACTCTTTTTTTATAATTGATTTGGAAAGCACCACAGCATTAGTTGATTCACCATTTCTCGAAACACCTTTTATTGCTCTCTCTAATTGAGCTGCAAAGCTGTCTTGTTCAGTTTCTGATTCGCTTACGCCTGCTTCGACAACTTCTGAATTATTTCCTGTCGAAGGTTCTGTAGTAGTGGGAACAGTGGGGTATAGACGATTGAATAAGTCTTCAGCGTATCCAATTAAAAATGTCTTGCTATTATCGGTAAAATAAGCACTCTTTTTGAGAATAAAATTATCGGGGCTGTTTAGGTAGCGTAGCAGCGATATTAGAGGTGTATTCCGACGATCTGATATTTTCATTTTAAGAGATTCTACTAACTGAAGAGCCAAAGGGTCGTCGATACTTTCTAATTGTTTTAGCAACACATCTGTTATAGCCTCTGCAGTTAGTAAATTGGCATCTTGTCTGCTCAATGCTTCAACTGCAAGTTTAGTTGGCGTCAATATCAACCGCAATTTTTGTAGTATAGAAATATTTTCCTCCTTCCATTTAAATGAGCTATCTAAATCAATCAAGGCTTTTTTAATGGAATTTTTTAACTTCAAGAAACGCTCAATCATTGTTAGCATTGAATTCCACCTAGTTCTGACATCCTGTAATAAGACTAGTTCGGCCCCGAATTCAGTCTTCACATGTTTTTGTAGTGTGATATTTCTAAGGGGACTCTTTCTGAAAAATCTTATGATCGAACGGGTCTCATTTAGCACTTTGTTTATGTCGTCAATAGGCTGCAATATAGATTCATCATCAGATTCTTCGTCATCGTTATCAGTGCTGGCTTCATCAGAGCTGCTGTGTTCATCGTCGCTAACAGGTGTGTTTCTTCTAGCAACTGTAGTTTTTTCATAACATTTGGCCCGTCGCTTGTTACGGCCAAGACATAATGCTCGAAGTTTACCCCAAAGTATTTCAAACGCTCCTCTACTATTTCTCTAACCTCTGCGGCACCGCATTTTCCGGGTATGTAAACTAGCCCCAAATTGTAAACTTTTGCCTCTGCTGTATGAACACAGACGCTAAAATATCGTCTGTTTCGTATGCTCGTCCACTCGTCAATTGTCACACTTAGCCGGTTTCCTGATGTGCAAAGCTGAGAAAGCTCTTTTATCATCTCTTTCTCCTTTTCATCATAAAACTTCAATATTAGGTTCATAACTTCGGTTTGGGTCTTTGGAAGTTTATACCCCTTGGCAGCAAGTGATTCACGGATAAATTCACTTTTAGTAATGCCTCTTATAGTAAAACCATCTTGTTTAGCTAAAATTTCACCTAACGATTTTCTGGGTTGAACGTCAAATTTCAGTGTTTGCTGTACGTGCATAGTTTCAAAATCACTTCTTAATTTTTTTGGTGCCGTCACCCCGGAACTAGACGAACTGGTAGATGCTTCTTCTGCGTCCATTTGAACCTCGGTGGATCTTACTCTTACATCAATTTTGTGTACATGAGCTAAATGCCTCACTAGTCCGCTTGTGTTTGATCCTTTACAGGCTATGGTTTTAGGACATTTTAGACATTGCGCATTTGAGGCGTCCTTATTTTTCTTGAAATATTTCCAAACTTTGGAAGTTTCCATTTTGGTTCATTAGTTGTAAAATCTATAACAAACAGTTCAAGAATTAGTAAGTATTTTAGTTTAGTACCTAGTACCTACAAAATAGCTGACGCAACAGTGGGGAGGCCTATGCCCAGCAGGGGGGTTGATGTGGTTAGGTTAGGCTGATGATGATGATGAAAAAATAGCTGTGTCCTTTTGTATACTACGTTTGGTAGGATTGGTTGGATACGTTTTGTGTTATTTGTATTAGATAAATTGCCATAAAACAACGTCTTACTCTTAATATTATGTGCTTAGTTTAGAACTTTAGGCTTTTGTGGGATTATTTTATTACAACATCTGCAATACAAATGCAATTAATGAAATCGGTAAATATTTATGCACTAACAATTCTCTTATTTGATTAAAAACAAAAGTTTTATTTCTTTAACATACCTATTCATTTTAAACAAAAATATTATTTTGGTAATACAAAAGTACTTACAAAACAAAACAAACACTTGAACTATTTAAATAAATAATAACAATACTTACCTGTTTGTTCTGCGATTCTATTACTCGTGCGTCACTAAATAGTAAATACACTCACTATGCTGGGTTTATGATCCGACCGATCCGAACACGGCGGGAGTTGAAATACGAATGAACAAAATACAACTGGGGCCGCGTCGCGCTTGCGTTTGTCGGCAAAAACAAAGGATACCGACAGACACGAGCCGTGCTGTCAAAGGATGCCGCTGCCGCCTCGCATTTACAAAGAAAGCTAAGCGTAAAAATGTTTATTTAAACTTCTCGATGTCTCGACTTTTCTCGAGCTGAATTTCCCGGGTACGAGACCGACCGATTTCCCGGGAATTCCCGAGACGAGAATTCCCGGGAACAAACCCTACTAAAGACCGATTTACACTTCGACAAGTACAGTGGCGAGTTTAGTTACAGGGCAGTTGACAGTAAACGGTTAAGTGGACAGTAGCGTTCAAACAATGTCTTCGTGGCGAGTTTAGTTAAGGACATTAGTCCATAGAGTTCGTTGGAGTATGACGTTTCAAGACTACAGAATTTTTCTGGTTTTCGTTTTCGAAGGTTCTAGGATTACGTCAAGAATTAAATGATCCAGTTAGAGAAGTATTAATGGTTGTTGTTAAATAAGTTTTTAAGAATTTTCATGAGTGGAGCATCTCGAGCAGGTTTAATTTTACAATTTGAACTTCTACTATTCAAATTCAAATTCATTTATTTGCCAGAATGTATGTGTACAATAAAGTATGATCTTAAATTATGAATAATGGCCCATTTACATTCTACCATTTTATATGGTGTGCAAATATTTAATTAGTATACATGCAAAAAAAAATTTACAAGTGGGAATTCAATTAAAATGTCACATTGTTTAATAGTTGTTCTTAAGTGTTAATGTCCATACTTTCATTTTGTTTGTAATTAATTAATTATTAGATATATGTCAATATGACTGACTTCGGATTTATTTTCCACTAAAAGACATAAATTCGTTTAGATCGTAAAAACATTTTTCTTTTAACCATTGTATTAACTTTTTTTAAACGTGGTTAAAGGTAACTCTTTAAATTCGTTGGGTATTTTGTTATACACCTTTATAGCATTTACGTAAGAGTTCCTTTCATACAATTTGAGCCTGCATTGAGGTAAGTATAATTTATGTTTATTTCTAGGAGCTACATTTCGTTCAGTTACATCTATTTGCCTTTCAAAGTGTTGAGGATGCTGTTTTACAAATATGCATATTTCTTTAATGTACAAGCATGTTAATGTTAAGATATTGTACTTTTTAAACAAGGGCTTACA